CCCGTATAAATTTTATAATAAATAACAAATCTGTAGCATTTGTGACGGCCATGATATTCATATATGGCCGTGGTGTATCACTTAACCTACTTACGCATATGTTTCTAGTTTAATTTAAGTACATAATATTTTAAGGAATTATAAATATATTATCTACTAATATGTCTACATATTAGTAGATAAAAGGAAGTTTTAGTTAATTGTATTATTTATTATTGTGTACATTTGATTGTACTATTAAGTTCGATGTCAGTGTGTCAATGAACCGCAAAAATGATAAAGTAACGAGCACAAATCACCTGATAAAGAGTTACCATTCTTTGATGAAGAATCAAAGTCGATCTAAACAGGAAACATGGCGGCGTTACATATAGTTTTGTCAAGTTGCAGATATAGCAATAGTGTACTAGTGTCATGACATTTGAGAATCACGGTTAGGTACAAATTGCAGTATATTTAGTTACATAATATCATAAGAGATAATATGCATACGTGTGATAAGAACTCAATGTGACAATAATGACGTCATACATACGTAACATTACTACAATTAATGTGTTTTTTTAAATATTATAGAAACATGTACATAAATATCAACATTTAGAAATATGCGTTGTCTATAGTGCGTTTTAAATTAGCCTCATTCTCAGCCTGCCTTATTGTACGGCACTTCTAAATTTGGCAAAAACTATTTTAGATTTTACTATAATCTGAAATCGTGTTTTTTGAAACCCTGAAAATTGCTACGTACTATAGCAATTCAAGTAAATTGAGCTCCAGCATAACTCAGCATTTTGTTAAACTTACAAAAATATATGTTCATAGTAATCCCAATACACCTACAGATATATACACGATAGATATTAGATCCGAGAGATCGGCCCAACGGTAAACGACCATAATATGCATTGATCTAGCAGATATATGTACAATGAAGGCATTATTCAATGTTAATATAAACAGTACTTACATAAAATCCCTAACATTAATTCGTTTAGCACATGAACTAAATTGTTGCATTTTGTAAAAGTCAGATGATTGTGTCACGTATTGTGAAGAGATAATGTTTATTATCCCTCGGCAATGTGTTCACCGGGTGTAAAGCATAAATGTCGCATTGGTAGAAAAATAGATAAAGCAGTTAATGCAATTAAAGTGATATGTAAGGCTTCGAGGAGTTAGGTGGCAGTACGCTGCCGGCATCCGAGGAGCTGAGTTGGAGAAAATGGCACAAGGTGAGTAATAAAATAAGTTTACCTCAAATTTGACTAACAAATTTACCAATACCTTAAATACTGTGGCTGTGCGCTGTCCCTGACTATTTTATTTCCTAGGACTATGTCCTACATCTATGCCAGGCGAGATCCGTAAAGACACCTTTTAAATAGTAAGAATAAACATCCATCCAAACTTTCGCGTTTATAATATTAGTCTGAATTAGTATGATTTCCAACGTTTTAACAGCAGAGTTTTATATTGCAAGTTTGTATCTCATTAAAAGGATTTTTGACATTGAATAGCATTAGAGATTATTCACGTCGTCCTATCCTTATCCTCACAAACCTTTTTTAACTGCTAAGCCTCTTCAACTTGTCTTACAGTGAATACATATTTTAACTCTTAGACCCCTTTCCCACTAGCTCGACTATGGCCGCAAGTCATTGCTCTTTCTAGGAGCAATCAATATGATTTCCACGGAGGTGGTGTGGACTCTCGTAAAATTGATAGTCGTGCAGCTTGTTACTTGGTGGAAAAGGCCTTTTATGTAGGCGATCAATGTGATCTTCGGCCCGTTAGTGTGACAAGTGAATAGTAAAATGCGAGTTCATAATGTAACAATAGAATTGATAATATCATGTAATTGTCTTTATATATCCTGCAAACATTCGTAGAAGTGTAAATATAGTACGCAGAAAGCACTTATTAAATGTTCTCGGAAACTAATTACATCAAATAATACATGAAGACCGCAGCGCACGAATTGTGGCTCCGATTTGTTGCGAGAAATATTGATGTGTCTAATTTATTATAACTAATTCACATTTACAACTTACTAATGAAATTGCACTAATTTTATTGCATGATTAATTTACACAACAAAAAGTGCTAAAAAACTAATACTTTAATTCCTCTAGAATATTTACTTGGCAGTGGCTTAACTTTTCATCTAGCTTGTATGACAGCACATAGCAAAGGGTTATCCTATCGCCACATACCAGCCGGATATATGTTAATCTACCCACGAGGATGCAGACTTTTAAACAGTATTAAATTATTTAGAGGAATATGATTTCTACAAAAAGTAACATAAAATATTTAAAACAATGTTAATATACGTAATATCTTTTTAAACTATTCACTGCTATAATGTCTCTGACTCGCATAGAGGCATCTGATGTTGCGCTAAATGTAAAATGTAAAAAGTAAAAATATAACTTTAACTTAATAAGTCTCGACTTAAGTCTCACTATATAATCTATGCGTTTATAAGACATTTCATAGTGTGACGCACTTGTATGGCTTCTGATATATGTACATGTACTAGTACACACATATGTATAGTATGGCGAAGACAATGCGTTTGACATCGGTATGCCAGTTAATCCGAATCCCTTGTGTACGTTCATAGCTGCTAGACTGCAGTTATCGGGAAATGGATCGCTGAACCAAATAACGTCAGCGTTGTCCTATTTCATAATTGCTTCCTTTGTATTTGAAACCTCCCGAAAATGTCAAAGTTAACTCTCCATTGTCATTGCATGGTCACTATACAGCTTCGCACCAATTAAGATCATTATTACAGTTCCATTTATAGCGAAATTAATATTATATTTAAAAAGTCGAGAGTATAACGTGACCATGGCATCCCTGTACTGTGCCTTACAATCTCCTTTGATAGTGCAACTTTCTTATTCATCAAAATCATACAACGCAATCTTGTACAGCGGACATAAAATTTAATTTAACTTTTCAATGTTAGAACTACACAAATGCTTACCTTTTTTCACATTTAATTCAATTCAATTTCATAAAGCATTCCTCTTTTCCTAAATGATTTAACTTAAAAGGAGCATATTTATCGTATTAAATATAAGCAAGTTGTAATTTATAGTTAGATGGTTATTAGTATATAAACACGCGTGACAAGTTGACAACCCCTATTGTGAGGAAATGGCGACATATCAGTGTATTCATTGTCACGATGTCAAGAAGGCCGCGTCGCCGCCCCGCCGCCCCGTCGCCATGCCGACACCGGCGCCCTCGCCGTGTCACTCTCCTCTGAACAATAGTAACCATGTATCGCTTCTTCACGTATAGAATTAGGATTTCTTTCAACCTTTCCCTTTTCCATCATTAACGGTAACATTTAAGGTCACATAAAAAGTGCACTATGACGCCATGTTCTATATAAATACTATATATTGGATGACATTACATATAGGCGAACAAGTACACCGGGTTTCTAATGAAATAAAATCATTTCTATATATAATATATTTTAAATTTGGTCTCTGCTCCAAAGTCCCTACAGACTAATAACACTAAAGCACGATAACTCGAAAACATATATTTTTATTTGAATGGTCGTTAGCACAGTAACAAATGAACACAAGAATAATTTCGACTCACAAACACATCTATAGGGATGTTCTTCAAGTGATTAGATCAGCGACGGTGACTATGATAACTAAGCAACTATACGCTATACAAATGTGCCGCGACGCGATAATATAATGATCCTGATAACGCTATGTAGTTGAAGGTTTTCTCTACGGTTTTATAATCGATCGACCTTAATTACATCTCCATAAATTAGTATGTAACATAAAGGGTGCATAATAATTATTTACATAAAATATGAACCGTTTTAAATACAGACTATTTTCAGCACTGCTCGGGTTTCATTATATTTCATGTCTGTTAAACTAAGTCGCTGTAGACAGATGTAGCAATGACACGATAGCTTTGCACCAGGTATGTGGGTGGTAGACGACGACATGGTATATAGGGGGTGGTGGAAAAATATAATAAATAAAATGCCACCCCATTACCAATTTCTTACATAATCACGATTAAACATTCATTTCTCCGGACCTCTTTTACAACGACTAAGTCCTGAAAAAGTTACTTGGTACTTATTAGTCAAATAAAGTGCTCGTTGGTGATTTGCGACCTCTATATAAGCTTTTAACTTTTAGCTGTAACCCAAACACTTTTGACACATAGTATTAAGTGTCTGTTTGCTTGGACATTTGAATATTTGATTGGTGATATACGACATATGGCAAAGAGGGCTTATTGCTTACGAAGCGTGCGAGGATGTGGAGGCGAAGTATTGTTAAATATTTTCAATTTGACTCCAAATATTCTAACAAAATAACAAATTATTTAGATACTTTAATATGTACATAGTGGCAGAATGTCATATAAAAAATGGTATTAAATTTGTTATCAAAAATCGTTAAAAGTTTTTGTTGAATTATGGTACAACGCTTATGGTAATGTGGTTATTTGTTACGTCAGTAAATACAGTCACGAGGTTTACACCGACCTGTGTGAGGACATAGCGTTTCTCTTTGTCCTATGTTATCAAAAAATAGTGATTAGTAAACAATTGGTTCAAACTAAGAAATACTTTTCGTATACGTGTAAAATAATGATTTAACTAATGACTTTAATTAAAACTTGCTTTTAATATTTTACAAATAATACAAAAGTAATATAAAATCGGCCTTAAAGTGAAAATTTTGTAAAAGAGTACGTAACTGAAATAAAACGTAAATGTTAAATAATTGATAATATTTAATATAAATTTTGCTATATATATGTAATACATGTACTGGTACATATGTATGTCGTTGGACTTGTCTAATTATTTGTACACAAAAGTATACAAATGATTGTGAATTACATGTACATGTACGTTTACAAACAATGTTTCTTAATTTGAAACGAATGCTTCTTAATCACTCCGCGCTCTATTTGATAAAAACACGTGCTTCATAAAGTGTGCGTCGTCGGTGGCGAAGGACTGATGTTACAAACAAATCCACCATAATATATTCGTGGCCTCCCATTCTGTACATTGTCATTTATAACTTATATTTTTTTTTTCATTTTTTTATGTAATAACGCTCTTGTACGAGTTACGACGTGGTTTATATAAAGTCGCAGATCGGAAGACAACTCACGTATATCGGAGCTTCTTTCACGCGCTGCGTACATTTCTCCCTAAACAATTTTTCTTTAAGTTGAAAAAAAGAATTTGAATAAAAGTGAGTTAACATGTTGAAACTGTTGTGTTTGTGCTGCTTGTTTTTTCTTTTAAATTTTGGTAAGTAATGAAAATTATTTTGTGACCATTTTATCACCTTTGCCTAAATTATATGCCATAATTTTTTCCATCAATGATTTTTTTTCTTTTTAGTTTATATTAATCTCACAAGGCATATGTATATATATATATATATATATATATATATATATATATATATATATATATAATAGTCAAATTTATGAAATAATTAATAATTCAAATAAATTATGGGGATCATTGACCGCTTTCTCGTTTGCAACATCTCCTGCGCGCTTTGTATAAAACTTAACTTTCATCTTCTAATTAACTTCATAAATGGTTAGGTAGTTACACAAATCATTTTACAGACATTTTTAGTTGTTTGTTTTTAAGTGTTTAAAAAGAAAAAAATATAATTATTAAAAACAAACTGCAACATAACCCTCAAAACCCCTAGATATTTTCCATCGTCGACATATTAAACATGTTACTTG